CTTCATTTAGATAACCCCCTCCCCTATCTACACCAAATTGATAGAAACACGTAGATACCTGTGGACCTTAAGTCTACACGTCTTATATAGCCCTAGGGCTGAGAAAGGACGTTAAATAAAAATAATAATAATAATAATAGATAATGCTGTTGCTGCGAGGTCGTTAGCGACCTGAATAATTTCAACATTGTGATCAATGGTAGCTTGCTGGTCTTTTTTAACCTCTCTTATTTCGTGTTCAAGGTCCTGAGACTTTTCATTCAATTACCAGATAACTTTAGTCAACGCGGTAAGTACTTTTTTGTTGGTGTTATTGCGCTTCCTAGTTCGAAAGCTGTTTTAACCGTTTTCGATCTAGATAGTGTCGGAGTTGTCAGCTGATAAATCTGGGTGTAGCAGTTACCTGTGGTAATGTTCATTTTGCTCGATGATGTTTCTTGCGCGTTTCTTCAGAGGTATTGCTAACCCGATTGCGAAGGATGTCATCTCTCTCACGACGCGTCCGGGTCGCAAAACCATCTGCATAACGGCCGTGTCCCGTTTTTCTTTCTTAGAAGTACTTGGAAGATCCCGCTAACTTCGCTTTGTTCCTTCAGCTTAATTACAATGCTGATTGAAATTCGTTTCTTAACAAATGTACGCTGACATGCGCTATCGGCTTCTGATACTAAGCTCCTGCCTGCGACTAATTGGCTGTCGGCAAAGCTTGGCAGCAGAGTATAGCTGTCGATATCATGGCTGGAACTTTAAGTAAGTGCGTAGGACAAAACCAATCTATCAATCAATTACAACAAAGCGGCTTAATTCTTACGTCAGGTCTCTTTTGGCCTACGGTTGATTGGAGTTTTTTTCTAACCAGTGCTTCTTACTGGCGTAAGAGCGGTACATCCTTGTTCCTGTCGTACCTACAATACACCAATCGAGTGCGATCACAAGATCCTGGTGCCAGAAGAGCTGGCACCTGGGTTCAGTTCACACAGCCCACGACTAGACGCGGCGCCAAGACACTACTGTTGAGTTGCTCGCCCGAGCAACGCTAAGATCAAAGAGAGAGCATACATCTCCAATCCGTACGTAGATGTAGGCTCTTTAACAGATAGCTTAGCTCCCCATTACATCACTCCCACCTATGATCGCGGGATAGTACCTCTGCGCCCACACTACTACATATCTAGCGGTACTTGTAAAAAGACTTCGTTGTATCGCCTATAGTATTTGAAATGTTTAGTGCCCCTAATTGTACAGAGTAAGAAAGGGGGAGATAAATAGATTGCATTTGGTCCATGCGACAGTGCTAGCCCAGGTTTATGATATCAATGACATCATATCGGTCCTATCGAATAGTTAGTCCTGGCATAATGCCCCTGGCATACGACTCCGTTACATTCAGCATTTTCCTTCACATAGTACTCTCGTGATTCGAGCTACTCAAGTACATAACTAGCTCATTAACTATGTACTGTCTGATATGCTTTGTATAGATAGTTAAGAGGACGCAGATCATGATAGATCAATCCTCTTCACAACACAGTTCCATGGTGCCAGTAAGAACCATACCATGTTAGGGAAAGTCTGTAGTAACGGAACTTTTAGCCGTGCTTAGCCAACCTACTTCCTAATCACCTTTTACCTAGTGCTTACGGAAGTGAACGTGTACTCTTCTCCACTTAAGCACCACTAGTATCCTTATAAAACACTGAATTGTAAAGCCAAATCTTATTTCCTACACACCAACCTCTGGAATCGCGACGCAACCTTTTCATATAATAAACAAATTTTATCTACAACGCCTCCACCACTAAAAGTCGCTATGTTGAACTTGAAGACCGTTGTTACTCTCTTGGCGCTCGCTATCTCCGTCTCAGGAGTCCAAGCACAAGATGATGCCAGAGTAAGTTGCAAAGAGACCTAGTCTAACCTTTCTCCTTTGTTCCCGAGTTTAACTTTGGAAAACTAGTGCTCTGGTCAGAATGGCGATTGCACCCGTTACGATGACCGATGCCGCCGCAGCGTCGGCCGTGCCGCTTCCTGTCAGCTCAATACATTTGTCTCTCCAGCACAGTGGTTTTGTGGGTGCTAGGTTTGCCGTAGACCGTAGAGACAGCAGAAGTAATGACCTCAGCTGGGTCCAAGCAACATGCCACTGTAACGGCAACAACGACACGCCACCTTAAAAAGAGAGCGCAATAGCTATACACTAGAGAAAAATGAAGATATTGGATCATGTTGGCAATGCGCACGTTAATTGACCGCACCTATGTATGCGACCACTATAGGCTGACGTTAACCATCTTGTTGAGTGAAGAAGTTGTACAAGAGTGCTTTTTGAAAGTTTACTACTATAGTGGTGATAACAGAATTCGTCTACATATCCGCATTACATTAAGTTATACTATCCCTTCCATCACTTCGAGATGTCATTCCAGGGAATGTTTGTAATAGCGTGGCCATCCCTTCCATGACGGAATAGTACATCACGTGACACACACACCGTGATGATCATTGCCTTCTATCCTCGATTGGTATTCAACTCTTATGCTAAGATCTCTTGTATTTATAGGCAATATGCATTCCTCTTTGTAATATACACTTAAAGTCAACGTTGATCGATTGAACCGACTACTCTTGAACTGCGCTTCTTCTGTCCGTCCTTGTGTTTTCTCTCGACAACTAGACCAGCGCGTTTCGCTTCTCTCTTTTTCTTATGTGTATGATACCTGTCATCAGCAGCCGTGTTGACTCCGTTCACCACCACTCCAGTTGCAACCTTGACTCCCGTCTCAGCTGCGCGTCCGAAAACCCCGTTTTCCATGCCCAGCTCCAGTACTTTCTCAGCGCCCAGAGTCCCCAAACCAAGCGTCGTCAGTCCCACAGCACCGTTGAATGCCGCCGATCCCACCATGTCTCGCTTACGATTCTTACGGTATTCTTGGTCAAGATGTCGTTTGAGGATTTGACGCTTCTTTCGAGCATTGTAAAAGCCTGCAGACCCAATGGCAACTCCAATTATGCTAATGCCCCCAGTAAACACCAGTGCTGATCCGCCAAGTGTAGCTGATGCGGCCGCGCCGCTGATGAGACGTGTATAGTGATTCCATTCAAGGTGTAGTTCTTCCGGTGTCATCTGAGAGCACTTTTTATCATATGCATCGAAATCGAATGGCATTTTAGTTATCGGGGTGGCGCTGTATCCGTGAATATAGGAGAAGGTTTCGATATCGGTACATGGAGCTCATGTTTATCATTTTTTTTCTCGAACTTATGAAGTTGAATGTCTGAAGTGAGGGGCTGTGCTCTTCACCGCGAATCCCCACGTCAGTGTACGCGTAATATTTCAGATAAGCGAGCCCGCCACCCTATTAACTCTAAGCATCTCTAAACTTTAAGCATATCTGAAACTTTGACTAATTATAGTATGATCTACTCGATTCTGGTATACCGGTCCTCAGACCGATGTAGCTTCGGTCTTTCTAAGATGCACTTCGTGAGAAAATTTCAAGACCGATTGTGATCTTAACAACTACAGTATACCTATCTTCCGTAGCGCTAATCGATGGGACTTCAGCCTCTGATTACTGCGTTTCGCTACTCTCTGGCTCTATCAAGCAGGTACGCAAGCAATCACTCCACATCATGTTGGGCGCCAAGCGCGTTACCCGTCCCATCTTGTCGAAAATACAAGCCCCCTAGTACGCGTTGCCCCAGATTAACGTCCTTATATGGTTATCTATCAAATATTGGTAGTGCTAAGTGCTTGCGTTTTTGTGCCGGACGAACCATGTTTCGCGCAAGCCATAACCATACTTTCCGCTCATGACTTACCTTCGACACTATAGATAACAGTCTCCCCTCTGCTTCCCCTACTCATCCATATTTTTTGATAATTGCTGCATTGGATGGTACGGGCTATCTGAACTGATTGAATACAGGACTTTGTCTCCGAAGTTAAAAATGGTCTCTTCAGAAGCTACGAGTTATTTTTGGTATCTATCCTCGTAGCCTGGCACTCCCTGCACAATTCGACTGCAACTCCAGTATTCCATACATGGTGAAGCTGGCACTACGTTCCCCTGGGACCTATTCACTCAATCTCAACCCGTGATATGTCTGGAAAACTCAACCAGGAGGAATATGACGTGCTTCACCAGCACAAACTCGTGGAACGAATCGGCCCCTTCGAGCGCAAGATAAGCTCGAGCTATCTCTCACCATCCCTGGTTGCTTTGCCTAACCTGGTGTACCCCGCTTCCCCAGTAAGCGTCGAAGCACTCGAGTTCATTGGGCTGAACAGATATGCAGCACAACGTATCTTCGACAATCTCAAGTCGGCTCAGATTGATGATCAAGAGGATGAGGAAGCTGAACTGCTTTCTATCATTCGAGGGCATCTCACGCAACTAAATACCAAGTTTGAAAACCTGCCAACTGCGGATGCGTTCACCAATGTCGGACTTACAGAAGATACCATCGCCGCCATTCTCAATCCTGAATTTCGAGGCGTTTTTGAGACGGAAACTCCTTTTTATTGGGCTTTCGATATGCTGCGAATGAGGTTCAATCATGTTCCACTTGTCTAAGAGAAAATCAAGAAATCTGCGGAAAGGGAACTCTTGGCGAAGAGACAGAAGAAGTCGCTCAATGTGAAAGATGTTTTGGGTGGCAACGAGGCTTATCCTTCTGTCATTTGGCTCTCAGATCAATGCATCATCCCGCATGACCCGCAGTGGCATAAGAGCTGGTGGTCTCAATCTGCCAACCACTTGCACCTTTATCGAATCAGTCCCCATGCCACCTGAGAACCATCTTGTTCTCTACACAGGCAGATGTCCAGCCAAGTTTCGATTTCCCGAGGATAATTTTGTAGAGGAAGATGGCAGTATCAATATGGCTACTATCGGGACTTACCCTGGTGGGGATTTCAACGCTAGCAGTCGCGCCTGGTATTTCACAACGGAGTACGAAACAGCAGATATCTATCGTCGCTACGCCACGACTCAATGCCCAAACGAGGTGACATGGATCATTCGTATTGCAATTCTACAGCAATTGGGCGCCACGTTGCGCACTGAAGAGTCGTGGTGGTCACATGAATTCCGAGAATTCGTGTGGTACACACACAATTTATTTACGCCCGGCGGCCGAGCCGAAAGGGCTACTAACGCTAGTCTAGCTTTACACTTCCTATGCTACGTCTTGGTCTCCTTAGCCCATATGTCTTCTTTTGCCCACTTCTTTATATAGCTTATTATCCAATCTAGAGTCCTTATTC